TGGACTTTATTAGTTTCAAACTCAAGCTGGGCCATATTTAAGAGTAGAGGTGATCGTGAGGTGCCCTTGCAAGGTGAGAAACCTGTGGATGATGCTTAGAACCTGTGGATGATGCTGAGGAGCAGTCAAAGCATTTCTGGAGGTAATGCCAAGTGGAGAAATTCAGCTGAAGTTCAACAGCAAGGGGAAATGGCTAAACAGTCCAGGTTTGGCCATTTGGTTAACAGACCTAGGTGCCAAAAAAAAAAAAAAAAGCCACAAAACCCAACAAAAAATATACAAACAAAAAAATCAAATAAGCAAAAGCCATGACAGCATTCTGGTTAAACTTTGCATTTAAATCAGTGAAAACACACAGGCTAGCAGAGCTTAGGAAGGACAAAGGACAAGAGGATAGAACATTTCTCAGAGAAGATGCCACAATAAATGCCACTCTAAAGGGCACAGGATCTCAGGCAAGGCAGGATGTGGGTGGGTGAGTGACAGCAGGAGGTGCAGAGTTATTCCACAGAGGCACATCCTAGGGGTGTGCCACATTCATTACCGCAGATCTCATTCTGAGTGCTTTTGAATCTGTTTGGAACCTGTGAAGTGAGGCAGCAAAGCTCAGATCATGGATCAGACCCACCCTTCCCTGGCCAAGAGTGCTCTGTCAAGGGAAAGTTCGGATTGTGCTTCAGATACTGTGAGGCCTGGTGGGAAAAAACAGCCCACACTCCTTCCCAAAGGAGAGCAGCTCTCATCCCAGAGAAGGGCTATGAAATCTACAACTAGAGGAGCACAAATCTCTTAAATCACCAGCTGTGCCCATTCAGCAGGGAGAGACACAGCACATAAATCTCCAAAGGCTCACTTTCAGTAGGAAGGGTGGGCAGGAACCTCTGCTCTGGTGGCACTTCAAGTGCCTTTGATCAGACACGTCATTTGGATTAGCCTAAAGGGATGTGTGGTGTCTCTGCCCTGCCAGCTGGCTCAGGCTAACCCCAGCATCACACAGAGACCAGGCCAGACCCTCTGTGCTTGTTTGGGTGGCAGAATGGCCAGACCAGGAGAGGACACTCAGTCCTGGTGAGCTGGCATGGCTCTGAGGAGGGCTGGCAGTCCTAAAACGCTCCACAGCTGTCATTTAGCAAGCTGATACAGATGCCCTGTGAGTCAGAGGTCTCTTGGGGCTCCTGCAGTGAGTGGCCACGTCAGCACAGAGCTGTGGTTGTTGGCTGGGCTTGGCACCAGGACCAGCCTGGAGGAGGGAGCACCAGCACTCTCCTGGCCCCAGGATCATCCCCTTAATGGCTCTGACCTGCCTTGGCAGGGGCAGAGCAGAGAGCAGCACTGCTCTGCCTGTCTCTCAAGATCTCCTCTGGTCAGGTTGGGAAGATCCCGAGGTGTGTCTCTATTAAAAGCCTCCTTTCCCCAACTCAGCAACCGAAGAAAAAGTCGAGAAGGCTTCGGTTGTCATCCTCAAGGTTGTTTATTATTTCTTTGTCTCAAACATTTTCTGTCTGGCCTGCCAAGGTCTGTTCTGCAGGTCAGTTCAAGGCACACCCACCACGTCTCAGGCTGGTGCTATCTTTCATAATAAAAACTATGTATACTATGTTTACAGTTATTTTCCAACACCTATCACCTATGTTAGACAGTGACTTTCTACTCTAAACCAATCTGTGAATGCCAACATCATCCTGAACATGGATGCCAGGGAGTAGAAAGAAGAAGGAGAGGGCATGCCAAATCCCTCCATCTTGGAACCCCATGTACAGAATTCCAAACCCCCCTGTACCATGCTCCAAAATTGTTCCCTTCACCCTGTGATTGCTACTACTATGCTACTTAAACTTCTGTGACCTGTAATTCTTCATATAAAGTCGGTAATTTGCTCCATGAATTGAGATAGAATTTCCAGTGTCTTTGGCTTCCTGCCAGGGCTTTGAGCCATGCAGGGCATCCAGAGGGATGTCCTGGGTTCCAACACCTGTCTGCAGCTGTGCCACAGTCAGAGCAGGGCACAGGGTGAGAGCAGGCAGCAGCAGGGGCAGAAGGGCATGAGTTTGGGAGATCAGAGCAGCTCATGCACCGCAATGGATGTGACTACATCCAGCTACACCAACAGCTTGGAGAGAGACACTTCCTTTGCCTTTTTCCACTGCCACGCACTGCCCATAACACGAGCTGTTTTTCATGCAGTAATTGCCCACTAGGTGCAAATTACCCAATTATACACTTAATTTGCTTTGGCTGATGCTCACCAGAGGCAACAAGGGTTCACCAGCACCCCTGCTCCAGCTCCATCAGCCTGCCAGCACAGCTTTGGTGATGGAGCAGCCCCACACTTGGAGCCATGGAATGGCAGGCAGAAGAACTCCCCAGGGCAGGAGCATTGCTGAGGGGCTGAGCAGACACACAGGTAAGAGACTGAACCTGTAGAATTTCAAGCCAGATCAGCAGGAGCTTGAGGCACTGGTGACAGTGTTCTGCAGCAACACCCAAAGCCAGCAAACAGGATCAGTGTCACCAACAATAATGGTGCCTGCATTTTACACCCTCCATCCCTTTCTACTTTCTCTGCTCTGTAGGTTCACCCATAATTTTTTTTCTGCCTCTTTCTTGGTGAGGATGAGGTGGACACAGAGGGGAGATGGGCAGCCCACAGCAGCTTCACAAAAAGGGAAGCATGTCTCCACTTTCTGCTGCTGACAGGGACCAGACAGAGGGAAAACCCCTCTGTCCTCCCAGCGTCACTCCCCAGGACTTCACAGAGCCAGTCCCTGCAGGGAAGAGAGCCAGATGTGACAAAACACGAGGATTTGCTTTGAATGTGTGCAGGCTGGCACTCTCAGAGGACCAGGAGCACACATGATGCTGAAATAATTGAAGTAGAAAACCTTGGAGCTGAAACTAAGACCTGAAGGAAGGGAGGTGGAGCAGCTGTCTTCTCTCTGGTCAGTGAATAAGTGGGTGAATTGTCAGCACAGGTGCAGCTACACAAATAACTCTTTGCTTCAGTCCTCAGTGACAAACCTGGGAGCAGGAGGGATGAGCTCTGCCGTGCTCATCTCCAGCCACACGTTGAAATTGGGTGCAGATCATCACCACCCAACCACAGAGCCATGGAACTATTGAGGCTGAAAAGCCCTCTGAAACCATCCAGTTCATCACAAAACACAGCAGGAATTTCTTAGGGAGGCAGGAGAAATGTCACTATTTGCAGCCTTTAAATTTAGTAGCATAAATATGGATGGCATCCTCGTTTTGGTATTGGACCAGAAGCAGGCTTCCATACTGAAATCTTACATACTACTGAAGCACAGACCAGAGAAAAAAGGTCACAGAGTCTGTGAATCATCATAGCCATGGATGATTTTGTTTACAAAAATTTTTGGCTGATTTAACTGTAAATCTTTCCAGCTATATGTTACCAACTCTGTATTTTAAACACTAAAATGTTTCATTCCAACAGCCATGGTCCAAGAAGAAAATCAGTCCACAGATAAAACTCAAAGGATTTGTAGTTCTGCTCTGATTTACCAGATATTTTTCTAGGAGATGCTGCAGTAAAACATTAAAGAGGAAGAGGATCATACTGGTGTTAACTGCAGCTTTTCTTTACATGAATCATTTATGCTTCACTGTAACAAGATGTTTTCAACATGGATTTCACTTTAATCTTTTACTTCAATCCACTGAGTCCCACTGTGCCACGAGTGGTGAAAGGCTTAAAAAGAGTCACACCACCAAAAACTTCACATCACAAATAGATGAAATCTAACTGCACATAGGGGAAGAAGGGGGAGGGACACAGAGAAGGCACAAATCACAGATGTGGTAGGGATTACAGGTCTCTTACTTGCTGCTTCCACCACCCTCACCCTCGGGTTTCTCAGCTGCTGCTGGCATGAATTATGTTTAACAGCTACTAAGGATTCAAAGAGATTCAAAGCAATCAGACCACTGGTCCTGATGCTCCCGCTCAAGGATGAGGGGACAGGACAGGGATCTAAGCGGGTATTTGAAAAATTAACACCCTTGGCTGTGTGGCAACAGGTCCAAACAACCCTGAATAAGAGCTGGGTATTCTCAGAGCCTCCTCCAAAAAGCCTGGGGAAGAAGGAAATCTCTCTCTTCACAAACACTGCAAACACAGGGAAGCAAAGGATCAGGAAGCAGAGGACACAATGCACAAAAAAAAATGCCCACTACTCAAGGTCCCCCTCCCAGGAGATTTTCCTCAAGCTCGGAAGGGAACAGAGGGGCAGGAGCAGGGGTGAAGGTCCAAGGGGAGCCCTGCCTTGCTCCTGGGGTGGGCGCTGGCTCCGGGCACAGGGAGAGCGGCAGCAGCCACCCTGCAGCATCTTATCCTGGCTCCGGGAGCCCTCCAGCGGCCCTGCAGCGGGAATCACGGAATGATTTGGATGGGAGGCGCCTGAAACATCATCCCATCCCACCACGGACACCTTCCGCTAACCCAGGATGCTGCCAGCCCTGCCCAAGCCGTCCTGGGGATGCTCTGTCCCTGTGAGATCGTTCTGGGACTCACCATTCCTCCCTCCCCCTGGCCTGAAGAAAAGGGGGAGGGAGGAATCATCAAGGTGATGAACACCAAGGTGAACCCAGACAGGGAATTCGTGCCCCAGGGTTGTTAAATTTAGCCACCAGATCGCCACAAGGGAGATGGAGAGGGGAAAACACGATCAGCTCCACACAGGCTCTGCGGGTGAGCAAACTGTCAATTTGCTAAAGCCAAATCCAGAAGGAAAGCAGCAAGTGTTTGCACAAGGATGCTGGGCAAAAAGCTGGAATTCATCTCATTTCTCAGGAGGGAATGAGTCATCCCTCATCGGGGCCATGTGAGTGTGGACAGAGCAGGGTGCCAGGGGACACCAAACCACTCACCCACCAGTGAACCTCGGCACAGTGCCTTCAAAAGAAGAGTGGTTTGGGGGTTTTTTCTACACCTGGGGATAGAACAACATCCAGTGAGCGCAAGGGGTAAAGCACAGCTGGTTTGAAGGCTCCAGGTACAGGAGAAGGAAGACAGGACAGCAAGAGTCTTGCTTGTCACAGCCTCAGGCAGATTGCAAGGATTTCCTCTAGGCTGGTGAGTGGGTAGCAAAAGCCATCCCCTCTTGCCCCATCACACATGTGGCATGGATGTTTGCAGCTCCAGCCTGCAATTCCCTCCCTCTAGCTGGAAAATGGTTAACACTGATTCCTTCTGGTGTAATTCTCATATGACTGACCGCAGAACTATTAATACCTGAACCCAGAGCTGCTTCAGCCAAACAACTCACTCCCTCCAGGGGGAAGAAAACCACAACTTCTCCTACCCCTGGAAAAACCTTTTGTCAGTGCAAGGCCAGCAGCTCAGATGCAACGGGAGGGGTCTGGCTTGCTGATGCCCCTCAGGGGAGAGCTCTGAGCAGCATGAGAGAGCTCGGCTTGGTGCTCCTGTGCCTCCTGCGCCTCTCCAGGAAGGGTGAGTCCTGAGCCTGCTGCCAGCCCCTGCCTGGTCACAGCTTCTCCCCTCAGCCCAGCCCCAGTGCCAGGGAGCCACAAACTCTGCAAGCATCCCACTCTCCATCACGTTGCTTGAAAGTATCCTGAAATTCCAAGCGCACGTAGCAACGCTGGGAAGATTCAATCTTAGCAATTGTCAGGGAGGCTGTCAGTTTGTGGGTTCTTTTGCATTTTTCTGTTTTCCTAACTTGAGCAGGAAGTTCATCTGACTATTCCCCAGCTTTGTTGGGTGGATGCAGCATTATCATCGCCGCTCTGCTTCATATTCCTTAGGAGTTATTATGCAACAGACACAATATTTTCCATTTAAACACTTAAGCTCACATTACTTCAAATTTGTGCTTAAACTCCACAGGATTTGCTTAGCTTCACTGCCAAACAGCATTTGCCAGAGCAAGGGTAGTTGTGAGCTGGTTTCCAGCTCTTGCTGTTGTCCTCATGACCTTTCCCACTGAGCACCAGCAGCAGCACTGACCTGACAGCTCCTTTTGGGAGTTACCTTCTGTAAGGTGTGCAGGCTATTTGCCTCTCTCTTCCTTGTGAGAGCCCCAGTTCCACTAGCAAATGGAGGCTGGATATTAACAAAAGGAATGTGAAAGACCTGCCATGCTGAGGCTTTAGAGTTAAGGGTAAATTATACAGAGAAAGTTGACAGCTCCCTCCACTCATAACTAGGCAAACTGTGTTTCCATGGAAATGGGCGGAGATGCTAACATTAAAAGCACTTATTTTTAACATTATTTTTCATCTGGAAGGCAAGGGGGGGCTTATGTGCTTAAAAAAAGAAAAAAAAAAGAAAAAAGTGTTCTTTGCTTAAGACTGAAAACTAAAAAAAAGAAAAGTTAATCAAAGGGGTGGCAAAAGAAGCAAGTCATACTGAAAAGCACACAATCTACAGTTCTCCTAAAGTAAAGGTTACAGTGACATGCTGCAAAATAACTAAAACAAGAGCAAATAAGCTAGAAAGCAATAGCAATCACTGTTTTCAGTGCCAGGTCTTTGTGCTCAAAGCCCATGAGCTTCATGAAGCTCCTGCAGTGCTGCAGCATTGTTTATTAGATTACCTGGGCTGGAAAAGGTGCCCATACCAGTATTGTGTATGACAGGGCAGCACGACTCCAGATCTCAGCAATCAAAATACTGGCTTGGAGCTGACTCCCTGTAAATATCTGAAGAGAGGACTGGCCCTAGGATGGCCTTTGTCCATTGTGTGACACACAATAGGTTAATACAAGCTGCACTGCCATGTAGGTGTTTGTCAAGTGTTATGGGCCACAGACACAGGAACAAAAAACAAATCTTATCTTTGAGTCTACAGGAGCAATCCGACAGCTGAATGCCCATATGGGGAAGCCAACAAGAGCAGGGATGGGTGGAAATACTTACAGGATGCTTTTACATTTTACAGGTATTCCCAGCCCCTGATCCAACAGAGTTTCATAAGACAGGAATGTAGGCACAGATGTGTTTCTGAAGCCACAATCTGCTGCTACAGCTGTTGAAAGCAGCAGAACAATGGGTAGATAGGCATGTCTATATATTAAACTGAAAGAGGGGACATTTAGATTAGGTATTAGGAAGAAATTCTTGGCTGTGAGGGTGGTGATGCCCTGGCACACATTGCCCAAAGAAGCTGTGGCTGCCTCTGGATCCTTGGAAGTGTCCAAGGCCAGGCTGGATGGGGCTTGGAGCAACCTGGGCTAGTGGAAGTTGTCCCTGCCCATGGCAGGGGGTGGAATGAAACTAATTTTAAGGCCCATCGCAGCTAACTATTCTGCAATTCTATGATCCCATCTTGCTTGTAGGTGTGCAGTGCAGTGGCTGGTCTGTCCACGTCCCGTCTGACGTCACTGGAGAGCTTGGGAAGATGGTTATCCTGCCCTGCACCTTCACACACCCCTACAAAACATTTGACCGTGCCCTCACGGCCATCTGGAGGATCAAGGAGCCCTACAACGGCACGGTGATCTTCAAGTGTGTGAGCCAGAGCAGCAGCGAGCTCTGCAGGACTGCCATCAGCCACAAGAACAAGTACAAACTGCTGGGCAACCCCCGGCACAAGGACCTGTCCATCAGGGTGGACAACCTGACCTGGAGCGACAGCGAGAGGTACTTCTGCCGGGTGGAGCTGGCCGGAGATGTCCAGGACAAGTACGAGAGCAGGAATGGGATAAAGCTGCACGTGATTGGTAAGGGGGCCTGAGAGGCAAAGGAGGCCAAGCCACCCTCGAGGGAACTGCCTCGGGGTGTGGGAAATGGCAAATGGCATCAGGAGTTCACCTGAGGTGGTTTTCCAAAGGGTTGGGTTTTCTTTCTCCCTTGTAACCAGGAAAATTCATTGTCCTCCTCAGTCCTGGTTTTCCAAAGGCCTGGGGTTTCTTTCTCCATTATAACAGGGAAAATTCATTCTCCTCTTCAGTCCTGGTTTTCCAAAGGGTTGGGTTTTCTTTCTCCATTACAACAGGGAAAATTCATTGTCCTCCTCAATTTTGGTTTTCCAAAGGCCTGGGTTTTCTTTCTCCATTACTATAGGGAAAATTAATTGTCCTCCTCAGTTTTGGTTTTTGCAAAGGCCTGGAATTTCTTTCTCCATTACAACAGGGAAAATTCATTGTCCTCCTCAATTTTGGTTTTCCAAAGAGCTGGGGTTTCTTTCTCCGTTATAACAGGGAAAATTCATTGTTCTCCTCAATTTTGGTTTTCCAAAGAGCTGCGGTTTCTTTCTCCATTATAACAGGGAAAATACATTGTCCTCCTCAGCCTTCCAACAAGAGACAGTGAGCACAATGCAGGGAAGGGAATAGGAACAAAACTGGTCAGGAAATGGCAAGGCTGTGGCAGCTGGGCTGAGAGCCCACCAAAAGCTGCGCATCCCACTTTGTCCCTGCAGCACAGGATCAGGGCAGGCAGCAGAGGGAAACTGGGATTAGCTAAACTGGGGTTAAAGACATCTGTTAAAACTCCACCAACCCTGAACTGGACAGCCCAGGTGCTGAGCACAAGTTCACAGGTGTTAGCACTACAGGGCTGGGTGGTAGCAGGGGATTGGAAAGACAAGACACCTGGTACCCAGGTGCCATAAATCCAAAATCCTCTGGAGCATGAAACACAAGCCTGGAAACCTTTTCTTTTTTTTCCTGGAAAACCAGCTCAGAGCAACAAATGTCAAATGCTAATCCCACTTCCCAGGGCAAGCTCACAGATCAATGGGCAGCTAGGAGACACAGGAGGCCTCAGAAGCAGACTCAGATCTTACCCAGGCCATGAGGTTGGATGGTTTTGCTTTTGAGAGGGAAGCTCCTTGTGCCTGCTGTGCAGTGTGGGTGTCCAGATGGGACCTGAGGCTGAGCTTGGCTGTTTCTTGAGAAGTTCTGCACAGCCGAGGCTCTCCTTCAGTTGCAGCAGCTCCTGAACACCCACAGGGCCAGGGCAGGATGGCAGCAAGACCTCTCTCTCAGGGGCTGCCTGGATTTTAACACCAGAGGAATGATAACACACATTCCTGCTTGGGAATGGGTCCTGACACTGTAATTAGGAGGGATTAATTAACGCTTAACAGGTTAATTTAAACATCAAAATACACAGACCCACGACACACAGCCTCAAATTCCTCTTGCACTGTGTGGACTAAGAGGACAACTTGTAGTAGGCAGTTGCAAACTCTGTTTTTATTGTCCAGTCTGAAAAAAAAATTAATTTCTGCTCTTCCTCTGTGAGGACACTCATTTAGTGCCCTTTGCTTTCCATAACACCTTTTTGAACACTTCCAGGGATAAGGGTTCCATCATTTCCTTGGGCAGCCCCTTCCAATATCCAGTCACCCTTTCTGTGAAGAAACTTCTTCTAATGTGCAACCTGAAAGTGATCTGGTAACTCTGGGGCTGGAAAAAAAAAAAACTGATCAAAAATAGGCTGTGGCAAGAAGCAGATATTTTCCTTATAACTAACCTGCCAAATCTGGCAAGTCTCAGGCACTGAGCAAAAGGCTCACACAAACAGGTCCACCCACGTGCACTCTGGAGGTCAGAGATCAAAGGAACAGCTACAAAATTGTGCAGAACACTGTGGGTGACATGTCCTGGACCTGGTGGAGATGCAGCCAAGTCCAGAAAGGTCAGCAGCTGCACCTGTGGGTGGCACAATGGTGGGTGGCACTTCTCTGCCTTCTGTCAACGAGGAAGGGCACAGCAGCTGAAGTTGGGCAAAGTTCGGAAAAATGTGTGAGCCATTATTGGGATAAAACAAACAGAGTTCATATCCGTGCATCCAGGCTTTCCTGGGTGAACCCTTTTGCCCCTCTATCCAACACAGGCTGGCTGGGGAAATGTAAAAGTGCCAAGAAAAAACAAGGAAGGAGAGGACTGATCCCAGCATCCATAGAGTCATTACATCGTTTATGTTAAAGAGAACCTTTAAAACTCATCTTGTCCAACCCCCCTTGTACTAGATGATGTTGCTCCAAAGTCTGTCCAACCTGGCCTTGGAGACTTCCAGGGATCCAGGAGCAGCCACAGTTTCTCCAGGCAGCCCTCTTTTCAAAAAAATTTCTCCTTATATCAAATCTAAATCTCTACTCTTTTAGCTTCAAAATATCAACCCTTGTCCTGTCACAAAAAGTCCTGCTAAAAATGTATCTCCATTTTGCTTGGAGCCCCTGGAGCCCCTGGCAGAGGCCCTGAGGTGTCCCTGCAGCCTTCTCTTGTGCAGGGGAGCAGCCCCAGCTGTGCCAGGCTGGCTCCAGAGCAGAGGGGCTCCAGCCCTGGCAGCATCTCCGTGCCTCCTCTGCACTGGCTGCAGCAGGTCCACGTCCTTGTGCTGCTGGAGCCAGGGCTGGGGCAGCTCTGCAGGTGGGGTCTCACCTGAGCCCAGGGCACAGGGGCAGGATCCCCCCTGCCCAGGTCCAGCTCTCACCCACCAGTATCCAACTTTACCCTGACAGAACAACGCTGAGTGTCCACCACGACCAAATCTTCATTCCAGCTGCTTGCACCGTACCTTCCTTCGCAGCCTGATCCTCTTTCCCTCCCCGCTGCCATTCCCACAGCCGCCCCCAGGATCATTAACATCACGGTCAGCTCCAGCAGGGACCACACCTTCCAGGCCCACTGCATGGCCGAGGGGGAGCCAGCGCCCACCCTGACCTGGACGGGACCCCCCTACAGCAGCCTGGGCTCCAGCAGCAGCTCCAGCCACCGCGTCACCAAGGAGCTGCACTCCCTGACCCACGACGGGAAATACACCTGCACGGCCGTCAACAGCCACGGCAGGGCAGAGGGGGCCGTCTACTTCTACAAATTCAGGGCCTCCGACAGCTCCTCCTTCATGGTCCTGGTCTTTGTCCCGCTGGGAATCAAGGTGGTCATTTTGCTGGCGATACTGAGCTTCACTGCTTTCTCCAGAGAAGGTCAGTGTCCTGACTTGCCTCCATTCCCTGGAAACCAGGGATGGATGTGCAGACAAATCACACAGGAGGGGACTGGGTTTGTTTGGGCGAGGGAGTGTCAATGATTTCATGATTTTCTGTCCTAGGAGAAGGACAGTTCTAGCAGGAAACCTAAGAAGAGACAAGAGCTCTTGGCTTGGCCTGCCGAGAGAGGAAATTTGGAAATTTTCTTTGGAAATTCAGAGGTAGCAGGGGTTTCCCTCAAGAAGAAATGTTAATAAACCAACAGAGGGGAAATCAGCAGAGAACCCACTGCCTACATAACCTCCTTTTATTTTTTCCCTTGAAGCAGGCTAATTACTATCTCTTCCCCTGTAGCCCACAGCCAGGATTTACCTTTGCTGCATCCCACACAAGTCCAATCTCCTGGGATGGTCATCCTCATTTTAAGATCATCCCTGTCAGTCCCCCAGGACCTCACTACCCAGTACTTCCCCAGCATTTGTGAAATCCCACCTTCCAGCCACGCCAAGGCTGTGAGATCAGGAAGTGCCCAGCCTACAGGAGATGGGAATCAGCCCATGGACTGAGGGATACCACATCCCAAGCAGCCAGGAGGCCGCTGGTCCCCAGCCCTCCAGCGCTGCTGAGTGGTGGCATGGGCAGCAGGGAACTGAGGAGAATGGGATGTCACATCACTGTGACTCATCTGTAGGGACAGTCTGATGTCACACTCATGGAAGCCACCACTTGTCTTGAACAGCAGAAGTTGTCAGACCAACCAAAACTTCTTTGCTCCTTATATTCCAGTGCCTAATTCCCAAGCACACATCAGGGCTTCTTCCCATTCAGTGGAGTGCCACAACCCCCTCCTGTGCAGTTTCCCAGCAGCTCCAGGTCACTCCTGCCTCCCCAGCCCACTCTGACCTCTTTGCTAACCCACATCATCATTTCCACTTCACAGGTCCCCCCTCTGCTCCACCCAGCCTGGCCAGGTAAGGATGTCTTGCCTTCTACTCATGTTATCCTGCAGGAGAGAGAGGATGGCCAAGGTGAGAAATGCAGCATGTCCTTGGTCTTGGTAACAATTTTCTGGCCTCAGAGCAGGCTGCTGGGGCAGGGAGAGGGTTGAGCTGATGGCCAGGTGAGCCAGGTGAGGGAACAAGGGCTGGACACTGCTGGGAGGAGGTTCTGGCTTGGGCACAGCTGAGAGGAGACCCCAGTGGAGTGAGGAGAAGGGTCTGGGCAGTGGTTTGGAGAGACCACAGCCCATGGCTGCTGTACCAGCAAAGGGCGGACAGAAGTTTAGATGTGCCATAAGCCCAGAGCATGGCTGGAAGGCTGAACACAGGCTGGGAGAGCTGGGGCTGCTCCCCTGCACAAGAGAAGGCTGCAGGGACACCTGAGAGCCCCTGCCAGGGCCTGCAGGGGCTCCAGGAGAGCTGCCCAGGGACTGGGGACAAGGCCTGCAGGGACAGCACACAGGCCATGGCTGCACTGCCACAGGGCAGGCACACATTTTGGGATCTTGGGCAGGAACTGGTGGCTGGGAGGGTGGGCAGGCCCTGGCCCAGGGTGCCCAGAGCAGTGGATGGGGCCATATGAGGATCCAGGATGGCATTTCCCACTGGATTTAGTCCAGCATAACACAACACATCATTTATTTCCAATTCACCTTTATCTAAACTGTGTGGGTGACTCAGCCCTGCCCACATACAAAATACTTTAAAGCCAAACTCTCCCTCTCCAGCCAAGTGTGCAGGGAAGGCATGGAGAGACAGCAAATATCCCAGCTCAGGTGAGACAGGGCCTGATTGTTGGGCTGGCATCCACACCATGTTCCCACAAACTCCTGGTGTTCCCCATGACCCAACACAAGACTGATCTTGGACACTCCCGACAGCTGGGGTGGCCAAACTTCTGGGATGAGAAAATTTTTAAAAATTAAAAAAAAAAAAAAGCACACAAAAAACAAATCCCACCAAAACCAATCCTCCTTGATCTAATGGTAAGAAGACTTATCTGAAGTCAAGAATAATTACATCTGCATGGGGTGACTCCCTTTCAATCTGAGTTATTTCTTTGTGATACTTCCTTCCTGAGTAAGCCCACATCTCCTTCCCTGACCATTCCCCAGAACAACAGCCATTCCAGCAGGACAGTCAAGTGTACAGGGCACATCTAAAGAAACAGGGAATTTAATCCTACAGTCAAATCTGTAATTTCTTATTAATTTCTTATAAAAAACCACAGTTTTGCTGATTTATCAGGGTCTAAACCACATTGTGCCCTTGGTTATATTTGCATAGAAGCCTACAGATAGGAAGGCTAAAGCCAACACTTACCTGAGAAGATCCTGCTCAGGAAGAGTTTCACAGAATTCACACAATTCACAGAATCACTGGGTTGGAAGAGACCTTAAAGGCCATCGAGTCCAACCCAGCCCTAACACCTCAACTAAACCATGGCACCCAGTGCCACATCCAGTCTTTTTTTAAACACATCCAGGGACAGTGACTGGGCAGACCATACCAGAACTTTATCACCCTTTCTATAAAGAACTTCTTCCTAATATCCAACCTACATTTCCCTTGGTGTCACAACCTCAGGAGGTTCTGGGCAGCACAGTAGCACAGTGGATGCTAAAGATGCAGGAGGTTGCTCTGCGTGCTTTAAGACATAAAACCTTTAAGGTGTGAAACAGCAGCTGCAGCTGAGGCCCTTAAAACCCACTGTGAAACAGAAGAGGCTCTGTCACAGACGCTTCCCGCTGGCAAATCCCAGAGCAGAACACCCTCACCTTTCCCACCTCTCCTCCTGGCAGGCCCCAGCAGCCGGAGTGCACCTACGAGAACTGCGAGCACAGAGGCAGCCGGAGCCGGCCCGCGGCTGGGGCAGCGCCCCGGCGCAGCTGAGGGGCCACAGGCACCATCCCCACGGAGCTGCTGCCTTCCCCAGGGAGCACAGGGGTCACACCAGCCTCGGGGAGGCTGGAGCTCCATCACCTCCAAGGGCCCTGCCACGGCGCTACGAGTTCCAGCTCTGCTCCTCCTCACAAGTGAGAGCAGCCTTTATGGGGGAAAAAGAAAGAGTAATGGAGCTGGAAGGACAAAACATGGTCAGTTGTAACTTACCTGTGTTTTCAGCCCCTTATCAAATATTTAAGCAAGCAGGCAATGGTATAAAATTGCCTCAGAGCTTTTTGCTTTGGTATTTTTCAAACATCACTCTGAAAAGCTTTTTCACCACTCCGCTTCTCCAACCACATCCAAGTGGGCTACTGACATGACAGAAATCCTAGCTGTGGCAAAACACCACTGGGATTTCTGATGGGCTTGCTCCTTTTTTAGAATCATTGTTATTATTATTTCTAAACACCCAGAAGAGTTTATTTTAAAGGAAACCTTAACTTTAAAGAGGACTCCAAGCAAAAAGACATTTTCCAAAAACTGGTAGAGCTGAAAGCACGACATGAGAAATCTAAACTAGTCTATGTTCTAACTCTGCTTCAGCTCCCAGTGCCCAGAAACTCAAGAGCTTTATGATAAATGTCCCAATACACAAAATTGTTGGGTTGTTGGGGTTTTTTTATAGTTAAAAAATATTTCTAAACCATTTCCACCTCTGTGTTACATAAAGGAGTTGCTTTAAGGTCTGGCTACTCATTTCCTAAATCTCTCTCTTCTGAGATGAAGTCACTACTGCAAAATCACAAAGGCCAGCCACAGAGAAATCTCTTACCCAACTATAAACATCCTCCAAGATCAGGTGAACAGATCCAGCTTATGGTACAGGGCAATGTGGGTCAACCTGGAGTCCTGGAGAGGCAGCCCAGGATAGGGCTGGAGGCAGCAACAGGTTGGCTTAGATGAGGAGGAAAAGAAAGAATTATGAAAGCAGGTGGCTTGAACTTACTTTCATGTTTATACTGCTGGATTTGATGCTGTGTGCAACCATCCCAGGGCAGCAGCTCCAAAACTGCTCCCCAAACAATCCTGCTCCTGGTAACAGCCACGAAACTGCTACTGAAATACCATCAAGCTTGCAGGCCCAACCCCAGGCTGGGAATCATTATTTTAAAGTTCACCTCTTCATATGATCTGCACCAGGAGAGCAGAGCAGAATTTTAAATTACTTGGCCAGAATGATAAGGGGGAAAGAAAAAATAAATGGGAGGATATATTTGAACCTGATCTTTTAAATCCCTACTTAAAATTCCAGCAGTGACAAAGCCAGATTTAATAAAAAATAAGAGATGCAAAGAGAAAAGGGAAGTTATAGCAGACAGTGTAGTCACAGACCTGTAAGCTCAGTTTCACAGGTGTCACAGAGGAAAGATATCTCAGAGATAGCAGTTGGACAAACTGAATTGGATTTCTGAGCCCTTATGATTTACAGACATAACAGTAATGAGAACTCACTTCTCCCTGTGCATGGGATTTAGGCTTGGCTTTCTGATTTTTTCTCTAAAAAAGTTACTTCTTAATTCAAGTAGTTTGGGTCCAAATAGAAGCATCAGACCTTGTGTCCCAAAACCAACTAGTTCCCCCTGGTCCTCATGGGAGACTCAAACACCCACTCAAACCAGTATAAACTGGAGGGACAAAACACAGCAGTGCACCCACCAGGATGCTTCTGGTATTGAACTCATCTGGGAGACACAGGGAATGCCAAAGCCCTTCCAGTAAAACTAGAAGGAATAAAAAGTCAATCAGTTGGGCACCACTTGGAAAACAAGGCCCCAGGCTCTGGAGTTCACATGTGCACAGAGAACTGCAATACAGGTCCAGACTTCAGCCACTGCCACGCTGATCATGAAGGCACAAGACTGATCTGCAGGGGGCACATGCAGCAATTATGTGTGGTCTGATGTGGGTCCTTCTACCAAGCTGAAAATATCACAGTGTCTGTCACCAACTGCTTGATTTTCCGTTTTTATTTTGCATGGTCTTTGCAGACAGAGCATGTTATAAATACAACATTTGTAAAAACTCAACAGCTGAAACAATTCTTCATTTTGAAAGTGCATGTCAAACACGTACTTCTGACTTCTTCACATTTATATGCAACTGATCAATAACATTTAACCTAATAAACCCAGTGCTTTTAAGTCTTTGGGGGGAAAAGCAGCAGAATGAATTCCAGACATGAATTTTCCAAAAGAGTCTGTTAAAAACCATGCTGCATTGGTATCTGGTTACTATACAGAGGGATGTACATATATATATTTATTTATAGGCTCGCAGATAGAGCAAAGAACTCTAAGACCACATTAAAATGACGGTGATCTAATGACCCAGCTGGCATAATTAGCAGAATCTGCCAAGAAGGAAAAGGTGATCTGTCCTCTAGCACCAGAACCATGGTTTAAGAGCAACAGCTCAAAGCATCATTGACCAGTAGGTAGCACATTTCTATCCCCTATTGACCAGAACTCATGTTTTAACGTGCAACCATGTCAAAAAACACAAAGGCACAATTAATGGAGGAAGAGAAAAAGTGATCAGTTCCTTCACAGAGCTGTAGGGACTGGGACTGCAGGACCTTGGAACAGATCAGTGATTAAAGGGACATCAAAGAAGCACCAGGAAAAATTCGCCTTCTGCTTTTCCTAAACAAAAGTGCATCCTGTGATCACACAAGGCAACAAAACCAGTGATCATTCGGCTGAAACAACAGATTTACAGGCTCATGGTTCATGCTTTGGCAACAGAATTTTAACAAGTGATCAACAAACTGAATGCAACAAAAATGCCTCTTCACAGTGTCATCTAAAATCTTGTCATGTCATGTCCAGCCAGGCAGAAGAAAATAAGCTTTAAGTGGTGGTTGTTAAACTTTTCCTAAACAACCTGACTTAGGAATTAAGGAATCCTATTTAACATGATCGTAACTGACTGTTCCCCTCTCAGACACTGGAGATCCAGAAAATATGTCTCTGGACTTAAATCCCCTTGAACTTGGCTTGAAGTTACTTGCATTTAATCAAGCAATACAGATGCAGACACACTATATTTAGAAAACAGGAAAAAACAATGTTCTTAGTTCCCATTTGTGCTGATATTTACAGAAGTGGGTAAAGATTGTAGGCATGCTCTAAACTACGGATTTCTGTGGGATAGCAAAAAAGTCAAGATTTAAAATACCATCCTTTCAAATACAGGGATTTCACAAAAATTGCTAGACACACACACTCATCAGGTAAGACTCAGAGGTACCCTGGTTAAGAAAGTCAAACCTCTTTTACACACAATCCTCCACTCACTTTTGAACTGGCCTGAATGATGACACACTGGAAAATTAAAAAAGGCACCAAGCAAAAACTTCAGACACTACAGGATGAGCTGTGCTGACTAGTGATTTGTACACCTATCCCCAGGCACCCTTCTCTCCAAAGGACACCACACACAGAAGATATTCAAGTGCTTTCAGTCAAAAAAAGAAAAAAGCCAAAACAAAACCCCCAAAATGCAAACCATTAAGCAATTCCACAGGCCTAAAAATCAAATGGAAAGCAAGAAAACTTTGAAGTGGAGAAAACTTGACAGTGTGCAGTTGTTCTTATTCGCAGGTCTGACTTAATTAAAGTGGAACTCTGAAGGTAAAAATCATTTGTGCAATAAGGACACTGTTAGTAAACCAGAGCCACTGCCAGCCCCACCACTGCTACCGAATGCTGTCCAAAAAATGCACTTCTGGGTACAGCGTGTTCACCAGGAGGGACAGGAGGTTATTGCCATCCTGAAGGCAGTGCTCAGGGTGCTTGATGAACAGACAGGCCTGGGAGAGCTGCTCCTGGTAATCCATGTACTGTTTGTTGGATGACATGGCTTCGAGAGCACTTAGTGCCTGCAGGGGAAAGGGAAAATTCTGTTAGTTTTGTGTATTTTGGTCCATAACACAACACCATCTGCACAATTCCCCTAAAGGATCCTCACCTACTACAGAACACAGAGTACTCACAACAAAACAGTTGCAAACTGCCATCTCCTAACACTGTTTCAAGTCAACTTGTATTTTTCAAGCTGTTCTTTCCCCAAGATCAACACAAAAACTGTCCTATTACTGCTTCCTAGGATTCTGTAACCCAAATATTGTCAAATATCTACTTCATGAATTCAAGACACGGTTTCACAGAAATTATGTCAAACTACAAGCTGCAAAACACTTAAACCTTCACTTTAGGTTTTTCTTATGAATATATTGACTTTCATGAAAGTATTGTTTTGCTCCCATTAATAGTATTAACTATCAAGTTAAAAATTGTATGTAGAGAAGTCTGTTGGCAGCACTAGCAAGGGCAAATGTAGAAAATATTTCTGAACAAGTTTTGTTCTTTTCTTAGAGAAACAAGCTGTACCAAGCTACTTTACTTTGGTTTCTAACCAACTCCTCCTTCCTCTTCTCAGGCGCTTACTGAAAGAACACCATGGTCAGTGCACATGCTAAAGGGGGAGTGTTTATTTGTCACAGGCCTTTTAAGCCCTGACCTCACATAAACAAATGTCAGCGTGAGTGTAGCCTTGCTTTTATCACTGAAAAGCAATGCAAACCACAGCAGCACTGTTTTTTCCTGTTTGCTTTAAATTCCTTCTACCTGCTATGCTCCAAACTCTCTGAGTCGGGCTTTACAGACATAAGTTCATCTGCCCCTTTTAAATGTGTAAGATTCAAAAATGAATTTTTGAAAAATAATGAATTCTTCATATTAACACAGAGCACCATATAAAGTTTTACCCAGGATCACCTTTAGGACAGAGTCAAACACACAGTCCTGCTGCCGAAGTGGAGCAACAAGGTGAAAGCAGGATTCACCTTGAAGAAATACTTGCAATGACTCTTACAAAATTCACAACAAAAGCTAAACAAGCACGCAGAGAGGGGCACGTCAAGCAGCCAGAGATGGGCACACCTCACCTGCTGAGCCTTCTGAGACAGCCTGGGCTCCGAGCCGGCCTTGAGGCGCACCTGGGTCTCCGCAGGGATCTGCACCAGGAGGAAGGCGGAGAAACTGCGGGCAACCACGCGGAACCTGCACGGGAGAGCACCGAGGGGCAGGGTGACACCAGATCTGCCAGCCTCAGCAGCAGACAAATTGTAGGAGCTACCCCTGGGGCATCTCTTGCATGAGGAACTAAGAGAGGAGCTATTCCAATGCATCAGAAACCACTTCAGTCTCACAGAATCCCAGAATGGTTTGGGTTGGAAGGGACCTTAAAGCTTGTCTTGTTCCACCCCCTTCCACAAGACCAGCGGCTCCATGCCCTGTCCAACCTGGCCTTTAACACTTCCAGGGGTGGAAAGTGATCCCAGCTTCTCTGGGTATACACACAATAGGACACAACACATACTAGGAGATGAAGTAATACCTTTACAGGAAACACTGCATCTGTTTCAAGCCTAGCTGAAATACTCCTCAGGTGACAGAATGTAAAACATTACTATCACCCAAATCAAGGGACGAGTTGAAAGACACCAAGAATTCAGGGCAATTTGAACAGCAATGCATCCCAGAAGGTCTTTAAAAACATGAAGTTATGCTTAGGTGCAGCGTTGAATTGCTGTTCCAGAAACATTTATGGGGTTTTCCCTCAGTATTCTTTCCAGAGTGAACTTGATTTTGACAGCTAACAATCAAACTTGGTGTCTCTGTTTAGAAAGTAGAGTGAATCACAACGCTCCTTTGCACATCTCTTAACATTTCCAATACCTCAAGGTTAGGACAGAAATTCCAATGTGTCTGTTTTAATACAAAATCTTGGGAATGAACTGAATTAGTTTTCTATAGATCAGGTGGAAGTACCTTCCTCTAACACACAAACTTTGCTTGAGGGGGGCATTAAGTCAGATTTAGAACTGCATTTTCTTTCCTTTCCCACCACAACCTTTGCAGAGGTTCATACTTGCTTCTTAAGCTGCTTAACACACTCACTGTGCTGTTTCTGTGACAGACCCAAGAACATTACAGATCTGGGGGAAATGTGGATTCTGATCCCCTTTTAACTCTGCACTGGACCCAGACTGGGCATGCTGGACCCAGACTGCAGGTTTTTAAATACCATGCCTCAAACCAATTAATCCACCACAGCTCCAGCCCTCACCTGGGTGACAAAGGAGACCTCCTGCCCAACCCAATAGCACCAAGTATTCCAGAAGTGAGTCTCTCTTCAGCCAGCTGGCTCTGCCGGGCCTGGATGGACAGCAGGGTCCTGATGACAGATTCAACCAGAACGGGGTCATCTTGCTCCAGCTGCACCAAGGACAGCTGCATGGCTTTATGCCACCAGAGAAACAGCTTTGCCTCTTCCTTTGCTGAGCTTTAGGCAAAATTTAAAGAAAAACGTAAGAGAAAATAAAAATTTAAGAGTCAGAGTATAGGTTAAGAAGTTTATTCCCCTCCTCATTAGGTCCATGAAGAATTCAGCTTGTTAATTAATAACAGCTAATTTTATCACATGAGGATAGCATAACTGTACTACCCCACCAGTAATTATACTGCTGTGACTGCTACTGTTATGGATTTGATCCACCAGCTAGCAGGTTTTAAGGGCCTGGACAAAGAACAGTGCTTCCTTTTAAGCTTTACAACTGGAAATAAATGATACTGCAGTCGTAAGTGGATTTAAACTTGCCTAAGACTTGGCACAAAACGAATGAAGCTGTATCTCTACTAGTTTGTTCTTTCTTTACTTACCAATAAAACGCTTTAGGAAGCACTGGATGTTGTTACCACAACAACTTAGATGTTTAGTATGATCCTTGAGAAAAGGAAACATTGAAGCTTTTTGTTGAGTAGAGCCCAAAGTGCAGTTCCCCCTATGCTATTTTTAATCTTTCCCCAAACAGCTGGCAGTTTAAGTTAACAACCTCAGATTTTCCACATAAAGCACCATCATGAGTTTTCTCAAGCATCAGACTACCCTCACATTACTCCTCCCAGTCGTTTCCCATCACAGGCAATCTCAGATCTGATGTTTAGAGCAAGGTTTAGTCTGCTTTATGTGGTGGCTTTGCTGTCTCCTTCATGCCTTGGCAATGAAATTACTACAGTACCTACTATGGTGAAAGTATTTTTTTTTGTATTTCAAGAAACAGTGGGAACATACATTTTTCCAAATTGTTCTTTTACAGAAAATATGAACATTAACATGGGAAAACAATAATCAGGTTTGCTAAATCCTGGCAATATCAGGAGCAACTCTAATTACCATTGCTACATGCATTAAATATTTTCATTTTTACCCCAAAGCTATGCATCCTTTCCCCTCAGAACCCACTTATCTAGGATATCTAAGAGGCTGCTAACCCTGAGCATCCTGTCATGCACTGGCTCCAGGTTTGGTTCAGAGCTGCTGCACAGTCCCCATCCAGCAGGTTCCAACACCAGGTCTCTCAGAGTGCCAGACTGAATATTCAGCACATAACTCATCCCACCTTGTGGACACGCTGGGAAGTGTAACCCAGAATCATTCAGGGTTTGCCTTGAGTCATTTTATCTGAGCACAAATCCTGGCTGTCATTGAAACCAAGCTCATCTGACTGAAAAATGACTGAAGCTCACTAATTTTCTAGCAGATTAAATTCCTTCTTCCATTTAACTACCACAACTACTTTCAGTTGGCACTGCAGGTGGGCAGACCCTGTATTAGCAGATATAGAAAGACAGGCAATTTCATCCAGCATTCTGTTGAAATTAACTTAATTAACCAGGGCTACCTAATTATACCAGCTATACAACCCTAAATAAACTTTAATCTAAATAACAATAATAATAATCCAAAAGTCCAGGCACATTCAGAATCTCCAAGTTTCATACCTGGGGTACACTTGCTCCAGCCATTTGCTGATGGTCAGCAGAATTTTCATTTCATTGGCAAGGGTTTGGTCAGTGTTCAGGCATTGCAGCAGGTAGACATAGAGTGTCAAGTAACTTCCTAAAGACAGGCACTCCTGCAGGAATTCTTCCATGGTTAGCTCAGGAACTTGGAGGGAAGCAAGTATAGGGCCCCAGCCTAACTCCTGGTGGTGAGGGGAATCTTTGAAGAAAGAAGGATAGAACAGAAAGCATGTGAGAAAGCAGCACTTGATAAAACCTAAAAACCAGGACTACTAGTTAAGAGAATCTGGGTTGGTTAAGCTGTTTTTCAGGTAATCAGCATGTCATGCAGTTCTGATGGAGAGAACAGAGGAATTCCATTATCAAAGGACACCTCCTTGAGGTCAAAGTGAGGTATTTTCCCAGCATTCAGCCAGGACTAAAATTTGAACCTTTTTGCAATGGAATTAGAAGTATTTCCCTCAGGTGTACTGAAATCTTCCACACAGTGAAAGAAACAAAAATGTAGTTCCACAAGGATTACGTAAACAGAACGAAGAAGTAAAGGAAAAAAAAATCATGAACACCACACTTTCAGAGTTTTACCAAACTGGAGTGTTTTTTT